TTTCCAGTGTAGGTAAGGGTTCCAGTAGCCCCGCAGGGGCAGACCTTTCCCCCTTTGCCCTCTGGCATCGGTCGCACCCTCGTACATATTCTCTTACGTCTTCCCTCACCTTTGGCCACCAGAACTGCCAGGTGACAAGTAGCATGGTCTTGTGCTGTCCAAAGTGCCCAGCTATTGGGTTGTCATGGAGTTGTCTAAGTACCTTCCCCCTCAAAGTCTCCCCTGGTACATACAGCGCCCCCTTATAGTACAGTAGTCCTTCCTTTTCCTCAAACCCTCCATTGACTGTAGCACCTCCCTGACGTTTCATTATCCGAATAGATTAAGACGTCATCCAGAAAGGCTACGCAATTCTTGTACAGCAGGGGCCCCAACACATGGTGCATGAAGACTTGAAAGCAGGCGGACCCCGATTGTAATCCAAATGGCATGACTAAGTACTCAAAAGCCCCTCAAAAGCCCCCAGGGGGGTGAACATGGTCGCTTTCCATTCATACCCCTCCCTTATCCTAATCAGATTGTATGCTCCCCTGAGGTCCAGCTTGGTAAAAATCTTCCCCTGCCTCACACGTGTCAAAATATCGTCAATCCTGGGCATTGGGAAAGTCACGGGTTCTGACACCAGGTTTAGGGCCCTGTAATCCATGACTAATCTGGGCTGATTAGTCTCTTTTTTGTCCACAAAGAACACTAGACTGCCTCCCACCGCCTTTGATTCCCTTATGAAACCTCTCTTCAGGTTCTTGTCAATAAACTGCCGCAACTCCTGCATCTCCCGATCGGACATGGCATACAGCTTACCGGTGGGTAACTGAGCCCCTGGAAGCAGGTTGATTTGGCAGTCAAATGGCCTGTGGGGGGGCAGTCTGCCTGCCTCCCTCTCGCTGAAGACCTCCTTCAAATCAGCATATTGTGTTGGCACCTCCTTCTTTTGCTCCAGGGCCACCCCAGCCACAGTCCTTCTTGGTTCTTTCCCTCCCAGACAGTGTTCTAAGCAGTAAGCTCACACAAAGGTGACCGACCGCTGATGCCATGACACCACTGGGTCATGTATTGCCAGCCAGCTCATTCCCAGTATTATTGGGGGTCCTGCCAGTGTGGCCACGTGAAAGGCAATGGTCTCCGTGTTTCTGGAGACACTCATTCACATTGGTGGTGTCTGATGTGTCACTTCCCCTCCCAGGAGTTCCCTGCCATCGATGGTGGTCACCTGCAAGGGAAAATCTAGTGGCAACAGGTGGAGCTGGTGCTCCAGAGCGAAGTCTCTGCTGAAGAAATTACATGAGCTGCCAGAATCTAGCAGCCCCTCCACTTTGATGGGGTGCCCATTTGGGAGTTCTAGCACCACCTCTATGGCTATAGCTGCCTTGGGGGGGGTCAGGCTGGGGCACTTCTATTGGTTGCTGGCCTGGCTGCTGCCCCTGCTGGTTGGCAGCCAGGCGTTGTCGTTTCCCTGCACCTGCTCTTCCTCCCCCTTATTGTCGTGGCCTGCATCCCCCATCATGCCTTGTCAGGCTTTTCGTTGAGGGCAGACCTTTGCAAAATGTCCCGGCCTCTGATAGAGGAAACACTTCTTGGTAGTTTTCCACTCCTTCCCCTCCCTTTTCCGACCTTCCCCAGTGTTTGAAACTTCGCGCGCATGCGCACTCCATCAATTTCCATCGGCTCTGCCACCTGGGAAGGCTCCCTCGGCATCTCTGGAATGCGGTTGTCATGGAAACGTTCCGCCCTTATCTCCTGCTTTTCCTGAGCCCGCGCTTCCTGGCGTACACCAATCGCAAGCACAGCCTTTGTGAGTTCATCCATCAACCGTGGGCGGGGCGCTCGGGACAACTCGTCTTTCACTTCGGGGGCCAGACCCGCTTCAAACAACATTTGTACTGGTTCAGAGTCCAGATTCCACCCGAGCTTGTGGACTAACATCGCAAAACACGACCAGTAGTTTCTGACGGTCAGGCTCCCCTGCTTGCACCCCATCAGCTCCCTCCGTGTCACGCTCTGCTCAATCTCACTGGAGAACATCGCGTCCATCGCGAGGTAGAATTTCTTAAGATCTTTCAAAGCGTCATTCCCCGATGCCATCAAGGGCCTGATCCATTCGCGCGCCCCATCCTGTAGATGTCCAATAATGTACGCCACCCTCTCCCCGTCATCCGCAAAGTCGTTTTTCTGCAATTCCAAAGCGTACTGAATTTTCATCCGGAAGGCATTGTAGTCTTGGGGCGTTCCACCAAACTTGTGTACCAGCCCAGGGACCTTCCTCCCTATCGGAGTGGCTCTAACCTGTGCATCCTGAGCCCGTCTCTCCTCCAGCCGTGCAGACAGGGTAGCGACATGCGCCTCCAGGTCTCGGTTCCTCTCGACAAGACCTCGCACCATGGCTTCTTGCTCTGTCTCTCCGGCCGGCCCTGTTTGGCTCATCGTGCTGCCTCTCCGGTGCTGCGCACAAGCAACGTCAGGGACTGACGGATTGCTGTAATGGTTCTAGGGGTTGCTTGTGCGTAAGCCGGTGCAAACACCTGGCTGGATTGCTTGAGTGAACCTTTTCTGTCCGGACAGCCACTCACCCGTGGCTGTCTCAATCGCTGGCAGAATCCGTCAGTGGGCTTTTCTTAAACTTCTTCCAGCAAAGAAGCTCTTTGACGCCTAGTCTGCTCCTACTTTCTCTGCGCGAAAGCCTTCTGCGCAAGGAGGGCGTAGGCAGCGGAGGAGCTCTACTCTCCCCGCTGGTCCCCGGCAAGGAGTCATGGGACCGCCTCGCCGCTTCCCCATCTGCCCCCCTTCTCCACTGGTGCTACGCTGATTCTCTTCCCCAGAAGATGGGCTGCCTCTCCCAATCCCGGGACGCTCTCCGGAATCCCTCTGGATTTTGCTCTCTCCCTCCGACACTGATGGCAGTTCCCTGACATTACCCATTACTTAGATGACTTTTTCTATCTGGGCCCTGCTGAAAGAGCCTCATGTGTCACATTGTTACAAGGACTGGCCGATTTGGCAAAGGAACTTGGATTCCTGCTCGCAGCAGAAAAGACAGAGGGTCCTACTATAACACTGACTTACGTAGGCATAGAATTGGATACAGTCAGCCAAACATCCCACTTGCCAATGGAGAAATTGTCAGCCCTTAAGGCATTAATTTCTCAATTAATTCCCCTGAGAAAGGTAGCACTGCATCAAATTCAATCCCTGCTTGGGCATTTGAATTTTGCTTGCCGAGTAGTCGCTTCTAGGAGCCCATTTTGCTCGCGGCTGGCAAGGTTGTCTGCCAGCCTACGGTCACCCCATCACTGGGTACGTCTTCCAAGCACCGTGAAGCAGACCTGAGGATTTGGCTGCAATTTTTGAACGAGTACAATGGTGTTTCCTTTGGCAGGATGTGCTAAACCTTTCTTCGGATTTCCAGGTACATTTCGACGCAGCAGGATCCTTAGGCTTTGGCGTATATTTCAAGGGCCGATGGTGTGCCCAGCATTGGCCAGAGGCATGGTGCAGTAAGTCCATCATTCGCGATCTAAAGTTCTTGGAATTCTTCCCTATACTAGTGGCCATGCATATTTGGACAGAGGAGTTCAGAGAGCAGCACGTTTGCTTCTGGTCAGATAACCAACTGGTGGTTAACGTTCTAGCTAAGCAGAGGGTTGCACGCCTTCGACCTTTTGTGCTGCAGTGCCTCCGATTTAACATTTAGTTTTTGGCTAGATTCATCCCCGGGGTTAATAACAATATTGCCAATGCACTGTCTTGTTTTCAGATCAACCGCTGGCACTGGAGGCACAGCAATTGCCAGAGCCTTTCTCAGAGTACCTTTGGAGCACTGGAAGCGAGTAGTGCTGCAGGGAGTAATCGCTTCAGTTGCCCCCTCCACCCTTAGATCATATAAAAAAGCCTGGGCAGACTTTATTAAATTCCATACACAATTTTTGCAAATTACAGCCTCGCAGCCACCTACTACAGTCCATGCACTTAGAATCATGGAATCATAGAATCATAGAGTTGGAAGAGACCACAAGGGCCATCGAGTCCAACCCCCTGCCAAGCAGGAAACACCATCAGAGCACTCCTGACATATGGTTGTCAAGCCTCTGCTTAAAGACCTCCAAAGAAGGAGACTCCACCACACTCCTTGGCAGCAAATTCCACTGTCAAACAGCTCTTACTGTCAGGAAGTTCTTCCTAATGTTTAGGTGGAATCTTCTTTCTTGTAGTTTGGATCCATTGCTCCGTGTCCGCTTCTCTGGAGCAGCAGAAAACAACCTTTCTCCCTCCTCTATGTGACATCCTTTTATATATTTGAACATGGCTATCATATCACCCCTTAACCTCCTCTTCTCCAGGCTAAACATGCCCAGCTCTCTTAGCCGTTCCTCATAAGGCATCGTTTCCAGGCCTTTGACCATTTTGGTTGCCCTCCTCTGGACACGTTCCAGTTTGTCAGTGTCCTTCTTGAACTGTGGTGCCCAGAACTGGACCCAGTACTCCAGGTGAGGTCTGACCAGAGCAGAATACAGTGGCACTATTACTTCCCTTGATCTAGATGCTATACTCCTATTGATGCAGCCCAGAATTGCATTGGCTTTTTAGCTGCCGCGTCACACTGTTGGCTCATGTCAAGTTTGTGGTCAACCAAGACTCCTAGATCCTTTTCACATGTACTGCTCTCAAGCCAGGTGTCACCCATCTTGTATTTGTGCCTCTCATTTTTTTGCCCAAGTGCAATACTTTACATTTCTCCCTGTTAAAATTCATCTTGTTTGTTTTGGCCCAGTTCTCTAATCTGTCAAGGTCGTTTTGAAGTGTGATCCTGTCCTCTGGGGTGTTAGCCACCCCTCCCAGTTTGGTGTTGTCAGGGGTTCAGGGACAGAGGCACAGGGTAGGCAGGAGATGGAGAGCGATGGGGATGAATCCCAGGACAGCGAGGAAGAGGATGACAATGACTCAAGAGATTCCATGAGTCTTTCCAGCGAATCAGAGGATTCCCAGAAGGGGGCGCCGGTGGTCAAGGCCAGGGGAGCCCCAGGGGGACGTGTCAGGAGCAGGGGGCCAGCGGGGGATCCCAAAGTGGCAGCTGGGCGTCAGGACCAGCCTCCCCGCCAGAGTGCAGCGAAGGGGGTGGAGGTTCCAGTGTATCAGGGGAAGCAGCTCCGGCAGCAGAGAAGGGAGGGAGGTCGGAGCAAGCCACCCTCCCGGAAGGGGAGGGGAGTAGTGAAGGGAGTAGTGTAACTGTCAAAAGGAAGGTTAGAGGTTGGGCGCGCGCGCCAAGTTCAAATGTGGAGGCGCGCGGAAGTACAGGGAGCCCGGAGGAGGAGCCAGGTCCCAAAGCCCGCAGGAGGGGGAAGAGCAATCTGGGGATTCCGCGTCAGGGGAATCCAGGAGGGGCGAAACCCCAGCGGGCAGGAAGACCCTGCGGAAAAGGAAAGAGAGGAAGAGGTGGAGCAGCGCAAGCCTCTTAAACTGGTGCAGGGGAGGGACTGACTCAGAGGGGACTTCAACGGTCTAAGCGTAACAGACGTGGGGCTGCGCGCCTCGGATGTGAAGCAAACAATGAACTCCAATAAACACCTTTGTATATAAGAAGAACTTGGCGTTGGTCCTTTGTGAGCTGAGACCTGAGGCAGCCCTGACAGTAAGTCCCCTCTCCTAAAACCGCAAACATTTTTTTTTTTGCAAAGCTCACGAAGTTTGGCAGACGTGACTACTGAGGAGCAGATAACGACCCTGCGAAACGCAGTCGCCGAGCTCTCCGCTGCGGTAGTGGTCTCCCAGAGGAAGGTTGACGAAGCAGAAGCGCGATGCCAGGATCTGCAAGCCAGGTGGGACCGTGCGTGCAAAGAGGGGTTCCCGGGGTCCAGATCAGAGGGAATCGGACTCGGACGGAGGGGGGGCAATTTAGTAGCCCACTTCGATGGGAACCTGAAGCATTATCCCAGTTTCAGAGCAGACGTCGTATACGCGCTGCATTTGCTTCGAAAAGACTTCAAAGATGAGGAGGAGAAAGTAGGCTTTATTGTATCCCACTTGCATGGGGAAGCTAGAGCCTGGTTACGCAATTTGTGGCGCGAAGATGGTCCTGCCCGCAGGAACTCTGACGAATTTATCAAAGCCATGGACGCTTGCTTCCAATCTACCGTTGACGTTGATGTGGCGCGACGGGAGATGCATGGATTGCGGCAGGGCAAGGCTACAGTGCGTCAGTACCATTCTCGCTTTTTTGCATTGCTGAATGTGCTGGGCTGGGAAAAAGACTCCCTGGCAGTGAGAGACTTGTTCTGGGAGGGGCTCCATGGCTCCGTAAAAGATGAGTTGGCCAGGGGGGACAGACCTCAAACCCTAGCAGACGTCGTGCAGAGGGCACTCACGATAGGAGTGCGCCACGAAGAACGCCCTTGGCACAGTGAGGAGGGGCGCCAAGTCCGCGCACCAGCTAGAGCGCCTCCAAAAGGACCTGGGACGTACGCATCCCTCGCCTCTGCTGAGGGCGGGGGAGGAACCAATGGAACTTGGTGGTGCAAAGGCTCGGACAGCTGCCGGAGCCTCAGCGTCCGGAGCAGTCAAGGCGAAGCCTCCTAGAGGGACCAGGAAGTGTTACATCTGTGACAGTGCGCAGCACATGGCCAAAGAGTGTCCCCAGAGGCTCCAGAAGCACACTGCAGCCTTAGCAACAGTAACAGAAGCAGCGCTCCAAGGAGAGCAGTTTCAGGGAAACGACAATGCCTGGCTGGAAGCAGAGATGCTGGGGCTCAGCCAGGCGAGTCAGTAAAGCAGTCCCCAGCGCTTTTGCAGCCTACAGATCCCTTACCACCCAAGCCAGTGGTGCAGCTCACTGCTACTCTCCAGCTACCTAATGGACTCACCCTGGAAGTCCCCATTACAATTGACTCAGGGAGCAACGCAGACTTCGTGGGGGTGCAGTTCGTCAAGCAGCATCGCATAGCGCTTACCAGCCTCGCTGCCTCTGAACGTCGTCACAGTAGATGGCAGGAAGTTGCTGGGCGGGCAAGTGGTACAGCAGACGCCACCCATGGTGATGCAGATTGGGAATCATCGCGAGGTCATCAGTTTCAACGTCACCCGCCTGTCAGACACGCCTATAGTGTTAGGCATGAGTTGGCTGGATAGACACAGCCCATCATTAGCGTGGTACCAGCGGCAGACCAGCCAGGAGGAGGAGGGCCAGGAGGAGGGGCAACAGTTGCATCTAGGCATGGTGCAGGCGGTGCCCCACAAGTACAAGGGGTTTTTGGAGGTCTTCTGCGAAAAGGAAGCTGACCAATTACCACCCCACCGGCCCTACGACTGTGCAATTGACCTCTTACCAGGGGCGACGCTGCCGACTGCGAAGCTGTATTCCATGTCTGAAGATGAGATGCAGGAACTCAGGGAGTTCATAGATCACAATTTGAAGCGGGGATTCATCCGAGAATCCAAGGCAGTGGGGGGGCAGTCCTGTGTTTTTCGTGAAGAAGAAGGACACGCCTCAAAAAAAGGCTCATTGTGGACTATAGGGCCATAAACTCGATGACAAAGCCCAAGGCCTTCCCCATGCCCAAAATTGACGACCTGCTCGCGACGGTGAGGAAGGGGAGGATCTTCACCAAGTTGGATCTACGCGGAGCATACAATCTAATACGCATGAGGGAAGGTGACGAGTGGAAGACGGCCATGTTCACGCCGCTGGGCACCTATGAATACAGAGTTATGCCGCTTGGTCTCCAAAATGGCTCCCACTGTTTCCAAGCATTCATGCACCACGTGCTAGCGGGACTCCTCTACAAGAAGTGCGTATGCTTCCTCGACGACATTCTGATCTTCTCAGAATCGCAGGAGACTCACGAGAGAGACGTAAAGGAGGTCCTGCAGAGGCTACGGGAGCACAGACTCTACGCCAAACTGGAGAAGTGCCAGTTCGACGTGACGGAGGTGGATTTCCTGGGCTACCGGCTGTCCGACAAGGGACTAGCCATGGACAGCGCCAAGGTCCGCGCGGTGTTGGACTGGAACAGCCCGCGCAATCGGAAGGAGGTCCAGAGGTCTCGCCGGCTTCGCCAACTTTTACCGCAAGTTCATCAGGGGTTTCGCGAAAGAGACGGCAGCTATCACGGACACCCTCAGTTCCAAGAAGAAAAGGTTCACCTGGACGGACCAGGCGGAGCAGTCCTTCAGGAGACTTAAGAGCCTCTTCGCGTCCGAAGAACAGCTGCTACACGTGAATCCCGGCAGGCCCACGCGGGCTGAGACTGACGCCTCTGACAGAGCACTGGGGGCCGCCCCCTTGCAGGAAGATCCGCAAGGGAACTGGAGACCCTGCGCTTTCTATTCCCGGAAGCTCAGCAACTCGGAACAGAACTACACCATCTGGGACAGGGAGTTGTTGGCCATCCACGCGGCTTTCAAGGCGTGGAGGCACTTCCTCATCGGAGCCAAGCACACCGTGCAGGTCCGCACGGACCACAAGAACCTAGAGTATTGGCGCACGGCGAAGCTCCAGAGCCAGAGGCACATACGATGGGCGGAGTTCTTTGCGGATTTCGACTTCAGGATAGAGTATATCCCGGGAGACAACAACGTCATAGCGGATGCGCTCTCCAGGAAACCGCAGTATCTCGAGGAAGCGGCACCAGTGGCAGCCAAGCACATTTTCGCACCGCAGGCGTGGGCGTGCGCTTCCATCGCCGTGGACCTGGACGCGGTGCGACGCGCGCTGCAGATGGATCCGTTCGCACGATCCAAGATGGAGGAGGTGCGAAGAGGCACAGCAAAGGACGACGAATTCCAGATACGCGACGGCCTGCTAACCCGCAAAGGTGCTCTCTACGTGCCGGGAGACGATCTCCGCGCGAAGGTTCTACAGCAGTTGCACGACGCACCCAGCGCGGGTCACTTCGGCAAGGAAAAGACGGCGGACTTAGTAGCCAGGGACTTTTGGTGGCCCCAGATGCGAGGAGAGGTCGCGGATTACGTCGCCAGGTGTGACACTTGTCAGAGGTCCAAGCCAGTGCACAAGAAGCCAGCGGGACTGCTGGAACCGCTGGAGACGCCACTACAGCCGTGGGAAAGGGTGGCGCTGGACTTTGTTACTGATCTGCCCAGTTCGCGAGGCAAGACGGCGGTGCTTGTGGTTGTAGACCTGTTCACCAAGATGGCGCACTTCATTCCTTGCGCGAAGGTGGCGACAGCGGAACAGACCGCCAAGCTGTTCATAGACCACGTGTTCCGGGTGCACGGCTTACCACGGTCCATCCTGTCCGACCGTGGTCGCCAATTCATTTCCAGTTTCTGGCAGAAGCTCCTGGGCATCCTGAATGTCAAGATCAACTTAGCGTCGGCGAGACACCCGCAAACCAACGGCCAAGCGGAGAGGGTCAACGCCATCATGCAGCAGTACCTGCGATGTTACGCCAATCAACAGCCTGCAACTTGGGTGGACTACTTACCGATGGCCGAGTTTGCCTACAACAACACGAAGCACGCGTCAACGGGGTGACACCGTTCTTCGCCAACAATGGGCGACATCCCAGAACCTTCCCGGGGTTGGAGACAACGACGCAGGGGGAGCCGCAGGGAGCTGAGCATTTAGCAGCAGAATTGCAGGAGGTCCACGAGGAGCTACGACGGCACTTGGAGCTAGCTAAACACGCCTACAAAGTGCAGGCAGACAGGCACAGGAGGGCAGGAGAAGACATCCAGGTGGGGGACTGGGTATGGTTAGCAGCCCAGGCGGTGCCGGCCAAGTCGTTAGCTAAGAAGAAGCTAGGACACAAACAGCTAGGGCCATACCAAGTTGAGGGCAGGATCAATCCCGTAGCTTTCGGTTGACCCTCCCAGAAGGTTCCAGAATGCACCCGGTCTTTCATAGGTCGGTGCTTACACCCTACAAGGCCCCACACAGATTTCAGGAGCCAGGGACGGCACCAGACCCACGTAGAAAGTCACCGGGGGGGGGAAGTCACCGAGGGCCCCGACACTCAACGAGGTCACGGAAATTCTGGACTCGAGATGGGGGGAGGAGGGAGTAGAATACCTCCTCGCCAGAGAAGGTACCCCGGCCAGCGCCAACAGTTGGGTGCCAGATTATGCTCTGGAGGAACCTCTTCTTAAAGACGAGTTCCATGCACTCTTCCCACACAGGCCCATGCCAGCGGAGTATTTTGACGACTGGCATTTTACGCCCACACATTCAGGCAGCACCATCCGGGGGTTCGCCTCCGCAGCAGCGACCACGCCCGAATCCAGCCCGCCAAGGGGATCGTGCGCGGGGTGGACACGGACCGCTCTTACTGGTGGGACGATCAACCAGAAGAGGAGTGGCGCAGGAGGTGGCTAAGGGGGCCTTGGCAAGCAGCATCGCCTGAAGTAACAGGGGGAGGGGAGGACATGGATGTGTTGGGGGAGGACCCCGGTTTCGAGCACTCATACACGGAACTGGAAGCAGAGGAGATCGATGTCGACGGCCTGCATCCAGCATCTACCCCCGCTACAACGGAGCTCCCGGAACCTGCACCCGAGCAGCGGGAGGGGGGAAGGGGGGGCTTCGAGGGGGGGATGGATGTCAGGGGTTCAGGGACAGAGGCACAGGGTAGGCAGGAGATGGAGAGCGATGGGGATGAATCCCAGGACAGCGAGGAAGAGGATGACAATGACTCAAGAGATTCCATGAGTCTTTCCAGCGAATCAGAGGATTCCCAGAAGGGGGCGCCGGTGGTCAAGGCCAGCCCCAGGGGGGACGTGTCAGGAGCAGGGGGCCAGCGGGGGATCCCAAAGTGGCAGCTGGGCGTCAGGACCAGCCTCCCCGCCAGAGTGCAGCGAAGGGGGTGGAGGTTCCAGTGTATCAGGGGAAGCAGCTCCGGCAGCAGAGAAGGGAGGGAGGTCGGAGCAAGCCACCCTCCCGGAAGGGGAGGGGAGTAGTGAAGGGAGTAGTGTAACTGTCAAGAGGAAGGTTAGAGGCTGGGCGCGCGCGCCAAGTTCAAATGTGGAGGCGCGCGGAAGTACAGGGAGCCCGGAGGAGGAGCCAGGTCCCAAAGCCCGCAGGAGGGGGGAAGAGCAATCTGGGGATTCCGCGTCAGGGGAATCCAGGAGGGGCGAAACCCCAGCGGGCAGGAAGACCCTGCGGAAAAGGAAAGAGAGGAAGAGGTGGAGCAGCGCAAGCCTCTTAAACTGGTGCAGGGGAGGGACTGACTCAGAGGGGACTTCAACGGTCTAAGCGTAACAGACGTGGGTCTGCGCGCCTCGGATGTGAAGCAAACAATGAACTCCAATAAACACCTTTGTATATAAGAAGAACTTGGCGTTGGTCCTTTGTGAGCTGAGACCTGAGGCAGCCCTGACAGGTGTCATCTGCAAATTTGATCAGGATGCCCTTGAGTCCATCATCCAAGTCGTTGATAAAGATGTTGAATAAGACCGGGCCCAAGACAGAACCCTGTGGCACCCCACTAGTCACTCTTCTCCAGGATGAAGAGGAACCATTGATGAGCACCCTTTGGGTTCGGTCAGTCAGCCACTTAAATACCTAGCCCATTTTTTCGAACATGGTCAGGCACCTAAGACTCTTAAGATACAGTCTGCTGCAATAACATTTCTCAGTAAGTCCATTTTCCTCAAAGATCCCTGCATGGAATTTATAGTATGTAGAGTGTTGGAAGGGTGGGGCAGGTTGCAGCCAGCCACCGGGCTTTGTCAGAGACCAGTCACTTCAGACCTACTCTCAAAAATACATAGGAAACTAAGATCCATTTGTTGGTCAAAGTTCAAAGCCAGGCTTTTCCCCACTGCTTTCTCCATCACATTTTTTGGTCCCTTAAGGGTGGGGGAGGTTGTCCTGGAGATGGCCCCAGGGGGCCTGACCCAGAGGCCTGCGTCTAGACAATATTATACTAGCCGAAGCAAAGTTAGTAGTATACATTAGGAACTCCAAAACAGACGAGAAGGGAAGAGGCATCCTTCTCAGGCTACCAGCCACTGGGCAAAAAGGCCCCCTGCCCTGTTAAGGATGCTAGGAGGTACTTTCAGCAAAGGCCCCTGGGTCCAGGTCCATTCATTATCCACCTAGCGAGACATCAGTTTACACACGTATTGCGGAAGGCTATTGGGGCATGTGGTTTCCCTGCCAGGGAATATGCAGCCCACTCCTTCAGGATTGGTGCCGCCACAACGGCGGCACACTGGGGCTTGTCGGTGAAGAGGATAAAGAACATGGGGCAGTGGCGGTCGGACACATACAAGGCTTACATCAAGAACAGGCAGTAATGTCACCCCTCTGACCTTTCGCTGTCTTTTCTTTCTTTCAACAGACACCCCACCCTCATGTTTGGATTGTGGGCCATAGCATTGCGCATTGGGCCAGCAGGTGCACACTTGACACTGGCTTGGGACATCACCTCGGTCTTTCTGACTACGCATGAGTTTCCTGGCAGGTGAGGCGCGGGATGTGTGGGGAAGAAATCCTGCCTTTGGTGAAGGCTAAAGCAGCGAATGTGATAAGGAGATGCCGGAGTCGCTTCAGCACATTATGTTCACTTGCCCCTTATTTAAGGTGCCACGGGCAAACTTGTTGGGATCAATCATACAGAAATTAGAGGGTACTCCACCAAAATTCCACCTTGCCCAAATCTTGCAGGATAAGGATGCCCATACGACCCTGAAAGTGGCTAGGTTCCTGGTCGCTGTCCTTACCCAAAAGCGTCGCCAAGGAGCACCACAAGCTAATTAAGGCGTAGTATGCCATTCCATCTTATAGTAGCTTATTGTTATAGTATTGTTTTAGCGGCTGTTTTTTTCCCATGTGCACAGGCTGTTATTTATGTCTTGTTTTTATCTGTATGGGCCTACGGCCGTAATAAATTATTATAAGGCTAAAGCAGCATCCTGGGGGCTGCCATGTGCACTGGTAGTGCAGCTGGGTGGGAACGACTTGCCTTCCTAGAAAGGCCTCAATCTGCGTTTAAGCATTCCCAAAAGCTACCAGTTTATGGTCACAGCTCCTTGAAAGGTGTATATGGCAGGACAGTCATTGCCCAGCTGCCACAAATAAGGCTAGGAAAAAATTGGACCGGGCTATGACACGGAAAGTGTTGGCCTTGGGTGGCCAGGCGATTTGCCACCCAGAAATTGTGCACAGCAATGAGGCCTTATATCGAGTAGATGGCGTTCATCTTACCAATGGTGGGAATGACATTTGGTTGGCCAATATCATTAAGGGCATAAAGTGTTGGTTGCAGGTGTGACGGTATTGGCAGTGAGCTTAGGGCTCGATTGGCGGTTAGGCATTGGTATAGCGGTGGGGGGGAGGTGCGGCCATCACCAGCCCCTCCATGCTCTAGGGTATTCCATTAAAGGAATCAAGGGGTCTGGATCTTGTCCGAAGCCCGCGGAGGGGCTAGGGCCATGCCACGACCCCAAGGAACCCAGGGGATGCTCGAGTCGGTTCACGTCGGCAGGGCTCCCCCTTTGGGGTTCACCCTTAGCAGACTTCCAGCAAAGCAGGCTGGAAGTCAGATATAGTCTTGTTTGCCAAGGCCTAAGCCAATACCGCTCACATTCTGTAATCAATAAAGTTGTGGTTTAAATTACACGCATTAACATTAACCTTAATTACTGTGTCATCTTGTCTTTTTTCTGGGGAGTGGTTTGGGGGGCCTTGAGGCAGAAAAGAAGAAAAAGGCAAAAGCTGTGGAACAAACCTTTGCATTCAGAGAAACAACTTGCTTCCAGTGGGAATAGTAAAAACACAACACCTTCATAGTAAAAGCACAACACATTTGTTTGTGGGTAAGGATGTGACTTCCCAATGCATGCTCTTTCCAATTTTTTAAAGTCATCTCTCTACCCTCCTTCTTAAGTCACATGTGATGCCTGAGCCTCAGTGCAAGGGCTCCAATGGATTCATTTGAGTAAATTTTCCAAATCCTGATTCATAATATTTTCTGCTGGGGCAAACATTTCAATCCATTTTTCTATTGAGGAATAGTTTTGGTAACACACAATCCTTGGGGAATTGCCAGTTTACAGAGATTTCTCTTGGGAGACACCTGAATATTCATTTTCATCTTGTTGGTATGCTTTTCATTTTAAGGTCTTATTTAATGCTTTCAAGAAAGCAGATGCTTGTTTGACGGCCCAGTCATTCTGTTTCAAACAGCAGATGTTTAAGACATTTTTGCTCCCCTTTTAAAAATGCAATTCTGTGAATATAAAGTGAAAAGCATAACACAGGTAGACAAAAGTTGTCTTTGAGCAAGGAAGATGTACCTGAAATGACTTGCAAATAGTTGCAGAATGAAGGAGCAAGCAATGAAGTAAACGTACCGCTGGTCTTGCTAGGCATTCACACACCCCCAAGCTGGTGAGCTGTAGTTCAAGTTGTAGCTCAGCAATAGATTCATGGTGTGTGTTAAGCTGCCTCTCAGCCCATCTTTCACCCTCTGTCCCGATTTGTGCATTCTTGTGAAATGCATTCTCATGGGGTTATTGTGAGGATTAGGTGCCAATCTAAGACAGTTGTTTTTTTTTTAATAATTTTTTATTAAAGTTTTAAACAAAACAAAAAAGAAAAACAACACACACAAAAAACAATACAAAACTTAACAATATAAACACAAAACAATTAATAACAAACTCTCTTTTCCATTTCCAATTTTAAATTACTTATTTTCTGGACTTCCTCATACCTCCCTCTTTTGTATTCCAATCCACATTATTTATCCAGCAGTTTCTTTTCCACTTTTTTAATCCCAATCTTTAATTTAATAAAATGTTAAAATATATAACTTCAACTTTTTTAAACCTAATCCTTGATCTTAATATCCTGTAACTTTAAAGTTTTCCCTTTTAAGATCAAATTTCCATTTCTTTAAACTTCTTTAATCTTAATCTTTAATCTTAATCTATCCTTAACTTTAACCTGTGCAGCTGGAAACCACTTATTTTCAGTCCAACATCACTCTAACATTCCTTAATTTTGCAGTGTTTCTGAAGATAGTCTTTGAATTTCTTCCAGTCTTCCTCCATCGACTCTTCTCCCTGGTCACGGATTCTACCAGTCATTTCCGCCAGTTCCATATAGTCCATCAGTTTCATCTGCCATTCCTCCAGCGTGGGAAGTTCTTGTGTCTTCCAATACTTTGCGATGAGTATTCTTGCTGCTGTTGTTGCATACATAAAGAAAGTTCTATCCTTTTTAACACCATTTGGCCCACTATGCCCAGGAGAAAGGCCTCTGGTTTCTTAGGGAAGGTATACTTAAATACCTTTTTAATTCATTATATATCATTTCCCAGAAAGCCTTAATCTTTGGGCACGTCCACCAAAGGTGAAAAATGTACCTTCAATTTCTTTACATTTCCAACATTTGTTATCGGGCAAGTGATAGATTTTCGCAAGCTTGACTGGGGTTATGTACCACCTGTATATCATTTTCATAATATTCTCTCTTAAGGCATTACATGCCGTAAATTTCATACCTGTGGTCCATAACTGTTCCCAGTCAGCAAACATAATGTTATGACCAACGTCCTGTGCCCATTTAATCATAGCCGATTTTACCGTTTCATCTTGAGTATTCCATTTCAGCAGCAAGTTATACATTCTTGACAAATTCTTAGTATTGGGTTCTAACAATTCTGTTTCTAATTTGGATCTTTCCACCTGGAAGCCAATTTTCCTGTCCAATTTAAATACCTCCATTATTTGATAATAATGAAGCCAGTCTCGCACTTTGTTTTTTAGTTTTTCAAAACTCTGCAATTTCAGTCTATCTCCGTCTTGTTCCAAAATTTCCCAATATTTCGGCCATTTGACCTCCATATTGACCTTTTTCAAGGCTTTCGCTTCCATTGGTGACAGCCACCTTGGGGTTTTATTTTCTAGCAAATCCTTATATCTTATCCAAACATTAAACAGCGCTTTCCTGACAATATGGTTTTTAAATGCTTTATGTGCTTTGACCTTATCATACCATAAATATGCATGCCATCCAAATACATTATTAAAACCTTCTAGATCCAAAATGTCAGTGTTTTCAAGAAGTAGCCATTCTTTCAACCAGCAAAAGGCTGCTGATTCATAGTACAGTTTAAGGTCTGGCAGGGCAAATCCACCTCTTTCCTTTGCATCCGTTAATATTTTAAATTTTATTCTGGGTTTCTTGCCCTGCCAGACAAATTTAGAAATATCTTTCTGCCACCTCTTGAAACAATCCATTTTGTCCACGATCTGCAAA